GATATTGAAAACCTATTTGAAGAAATAATGACAGAAAACTTCCCCCACCTGGTGAAAGAAATGGACTTACAGGTCCAAGAAGCACGGAGAACCCCAAACAAAAGGAATCCAAAGAGGACCACACCAAGACATATCATAATTAAAATGCCAAGAGCAAAAGACAAAGAGAGAATCTTAAAAGCAGCAAGAGAAAGAAACTCAGTTACCTACAAGGGAATACCCATACGACTGTCAGCTGATTTCTCAACAGAAACTTTGCAGGCCAAAAGGGAGTGGCAAGAAATATTCAAAGTCATGAATACCAAGAACCTACAACCAAGATTACTTTATCCAGCAAAGCTATCATTCAGAATTGAAGGTCAGATAAAGAGCTTCACAGATAAGGAAAAGCTAAAGGAGTTCATCACCACCAAACCAGTATTATATGAAATGCTGAAGGGTATCCTTTAAGAAGAGGAAGAGGAAGAAAAAGGTAAAGATACAAATTATGAACAACAAATATGCATCTATCAACAAGTGAATCTAAGAATCAAGTGAATAAATAATCTGATGAACAGAATGAACTGGTGATTATAATAGAATCAGGGACATAGAAAGGGAATGGACTGACTATTCTTGGGGGGGAAGGGGTGTGGGAGATGCGGGAAGAGACTGGACAAAAATCGTGCACCTATGGATGAGGACAGTGGGTGGGGAGTGAGGGCGGAGGGTGGGGCGGGAACTGGGAGGAGGGGAGTTATGGGGGGGGGAAAGAGGAACAAATGTAATAATCTGAACAATAAAGATTTAATTAAAAAAAAAAAAAAAAAAAGAAGGCTAGTCGCTAAGGAGAGGAAGCCAGACATTGCTACGTGACATCATTACCCAGTGCCCACAGCAACTGTTTCTGGCCTGGGCTGTGGGCTGCATTTTGCATCATGGGGTCTTGGCAGCGTTGGCTGTGATTTGGTGGGGTGTCACTCTGGGGTGGTGGTGGGGCCTGTGTCCCACTTGGGGGAAGCTGAGTGTTGGTTTGTCAGTGCCAGGTCCATGGTGTCGTTTATTTTTAAATGGCCAGTGCATATCACAGCAGCTCCTGTGTTGAGCGTCTGCCCCCTGGTGGTCATTGAGTGTCATAGCAACTGGTTGGATGGATGAACACTTAGCCTTTTATTTATATAGATAGATATTTTACCAACCATATCCAGAATACTATAATTTCAACATGTAATCAACATATAAAATTATCATTGGTAGCAGTGCTATCAATAGAATATAATGTGAGCTACATCTGTTCTCAATTTTTTAGTAGCCACATTATAATTTTTTTACAATATATTTTTATTTCTTTCAAAGAGGAAGGGGGAGAGAGAAACATCAATGATGAGAGAGAATCATTGATTAACTGCCCCCTGCATGCCCCACACTGGGGATCGAGCCTGCAACCCAGGCATGTGCCCTGACCTCCTTGTTCATAGGTTGATGCTCAACTACTGAGCCATGCCTGTTGGGCAGTAGCCACATTTTAAAAAATAAAAACAAGAACAAAAAAGACTCAGGTGAATTTTAATAATGTATCTTATTTTAATATATTTTACCAACCATATCCAGAATACTATAGTTTCAACATGTAATCTATAAAATTATCATTGATATCTTTTTCGCTTTTTTTCTGTCTTCAAAATCTAGCGTGTATTTTATGCTCCTAGCACCTCAATTTGCACTAGTCACATTTTAAGTGCTCAATAGCACATGACTACCGTATTGGACAATGCAGCTTCAGATGATTTTTATTGACACTCCAGACTGCCCTCCACTTTTGTGGTTCTCAGGCTGGCTACATTAGTAGAGGCACTCTGCCTAAAGTTATACCACTCCCAAGTGTTGATTTCTTTTAGTGGGAAGAAAAAGGGTCTGGGCCCTAGACATATAAATCACTGTAGAAAGTGTATTGGTGCCAACTGCTGTGACCTGTATCCACCCATCACTCATCAGTACTGGTACAATTTTAGTGACTGAAAGACTAGAGTTTTTTTCAAAATGAACACTTATCAAACTGTTTTTTATTCTCTGCTTATCTCCTGCATCCTTGTATATGCCTTTTTGTTCAGGGTAGATGTTGAAAGCACTTATCTTTTTTCAAAGAAGACAATAAAATCCTCATTCCATTCTCATTTCTAATAGCAACCAATGAAACTTTTGAAATTGGTTTTAAGTTTCCATATTGTTTCCTTTTCCCAAAACCGTGGTTTCTAAGCACCAACACCCAACCAGGATTCAGGAACCTGGCAATCTAACCAATAGTAAGTGCAACGGAGGACTAGGAAGTAAACAAATCAAATGAGTAGCCAAATGCGTTAGAAATGCACAGAAGCTCAGGTTAAAACATATCACAATTATTATTCCCATTTCCCAGGTGTCACAGAGATTGAGTGATTCCAGGCCAACCCTTTCTGCTTAATTACTTCTCTCACTGGAATGACATTTTTCCCTTCAGGACTAAAGACACTGTTATCTATTCTCCCACCATCACCATCTAAAATCCTTTTTACACAGTATTTATTTTCTCTAAGTAGAAGTCATGAATTCATGGCAGTGGAGAGTACATTCTATGGGGCAGACTGCCTGGGTTCAAATACTGGCACCACTGCTTGAAAACTATGAGATGTAACTCAATTTCCTCAACTGTAAATCGAGGATAACAGTCCCTCTTCCATAGACATGAGCTCATCCATATAAAGCACTTGAACAGAACTGGCCCAGAGTAAGCACTCAGTATTTTTTTTTTTTTAAATGAGTGAGAAGAGAACAGGTTTTCACAGTCCTTCACTTGAAAACTGTAACATACAGAAGCTTCTGGCTTGAAGGGAACTTTCCTGTTGACTACTCCACCCTCCCAAGCCCAGGAGGCTCTGCTGCAACATTCCTCAACATTCCTGGACAGATGGGTATCTGTGGTCCATGTGGTAGGGAGCTTGCTGCCTCAGGGACCACCACTCCATTTTTGACAGCAATAACTTCTGGGGATGCAGTTGTACCACAGTGCAAAGAGCTTGGGCTTTGGAGCTTGGTTTTATGATCTTTCCATCATCTCCATCAGCACCATGTTGTTACTATGGTTTTCTTTACTACAAGAAAATTTGGGGAACTTTGATACAAATCCTTCCTCATTACAATGTGCTTCAGAGAAAGCACTTACGGTGAACTGAAGCTTGGAGTTAATTAATGAGAGAATATTTTTATAATTCATTAAATCATGACAGCCTGCAGCATGAATAAACAGGAGTGACAAAGCCTCACTAACATTTTTATTTATAACAAGAGTATTATCTCTATGGGGTCTTTCTAGCAAGATAGTAACACTAGCTTACTACATGTCTGGCTTGCAAAAATCTTGGAAAAAGGGGGATTAGCAAGTGCAAATAATGGCCAAGAGCTCTCCTGGCTACAATACATATGGGAAATGTAAATGATTATTTCCATGAAATGCTCAACTAGGGCAACTCAGTATGTAATGAATAGTAAGTGTACATAAAGTCCACTAACTTACATATGTATTTACTAGAGGCCCAGTGCACGAAATTCATGCATGGGTAGGGTCCCTAGGCCTGGCCAGCGATCAGGTCCAATCGGGGCCTTCCAGTTGCTGGCCAGGGCCTCCCTTCACTCCATGCCGCCCCCTGGTGGTCAGTGCATATCATAGTGAGCGATTGAACTTGCGGTCTCTCGGTCGAACTCCTAAGGGGACACTTTGCATATTAGGCTTTTATATATATAGATGTGGTTTCATTTCATTTCTAAGGAAGATTTTTCAGTATATCAAGTAAGCCTTTTAATTTTGGTTTTTCTCCACAAGTGAAAACAGAGTTGAAATACTTAAGTTCAAAGAGTGATTGATGCTAGATGTGTACTGCTTTTTACCTTATTCTTAATTTCTCTAAATTAATGAAATTCCCTTTTTTTTGCCCTAACTGGTTTGGCTCAGTGGATAGAGTGTCAGCCTGCGGACTCAAGGGTCCCAGATTTGATTCCCGTAAAGGGCATGTACCTTGGTTGCGGGCACATCCCCAGTAGGGAGTGTGCAGGAGGCAGCTGATCGATGTTTCTCTCTCATCGATGTTTCTAACTCTCTATCCCTCTCCCTTCCTCTCTGTAAAAAATCAATAAAATGTATTTTTTTAAAAAAGAAATTCCCTTTTTATCACCTTTTCCACTCATTTTTGTAAAACAGGAGCAAAATGCAATGAGAAGACATTGGCTGCCCCACAGCCAAAGGTGGAAGGCTGCTGGAACTACACTGATGGCTGAAAGGTAGCTCCACTCATTGCAACAGAAAATCATTCCATGGCATTGAAACACCCTAGCTGAGGCAAGGAGTCCCAACAATAGATGCAAAGTAGAGTGTGACATGACTGTGCAATGCAGAGGTCACATATCATCTGAACTGGGTACTGCGGGAGAGGCAGATGTAACTTGCAATTCCCCTTAACATTCACTTTCTAGAGCCAGTGGTAATCCTAGTTCTTAACACAAACCAAAGGCTTTTTAATCCTCAGGTCAACTGAGATCCCATTTTTTTCACACTTTCCACTCATTGTTGTAAAACAAGCAAAATGTAATGAAAAGGCATTGGCTGCCCCACAGCCAAAGGTGGGAGGCTGCTGGAACTACACTGAGATCAATATATAAAAGTGTCTTCTAAACAGAAAAGTATCCGTATCAGATTTTATTATTCCCAAATTAAGTGAGGAAGTATACTTTCTCAAGGACAATGAGATCTTTGTTTAACCTTGATTCACCTACCCTAATCTCTAACCTATTCAGTTTCTTCAAGCTCCTTCTAGAAGACAGGGGTGGGGACTGGGTCTTTATCACTGTTTGCAGGTTTATGCATCCATCCTGCTTGACTGGAGGACAGCCCAACACACAGGCACCAAGGAGGGAAACTGGCAGATGAAGGGAAAATGACCAAACAGAGATGGAAAAGACAATAGCATAGCCAAACCAACAAGAGACAGGAGTCAAGAAAAATTAACAACAAAATGTATTTAAAAACAGACTTCTCCAGTTGGTATTTTCAATGAAATAGCTACCAATTAACTCCAACCCTTTATATTGTGTTTCTTTTGCTCCTGGAGTCCTGTTGCAGCTTTAATTCTTGAAACTTGGGTGGCAGCACCAGACATTAAATCCCCAAAGGGAGAGGTATTATTAAACCTTTTGCTGGTCATTCTTTTCTGAACAAAAATGGACAAATTCCTAAGCCTTCTTATTCATTTCATGACGATCATTAGAAGAAAAAAATTAAACCAAACTTGCATATTGAAAATAAAAACAAAACAAACTCAAAAAAATCTCGCAGATAATAAATATCGCTGATTCACTTATTTTAAACAAAGTCCAATTTTATTCACTCTTAATATCCTTGCAGTCCATTGTATACCTTCTGCACTGATCCCTGTTTCAGTAGCTGTTTGATACCTGAAGAAAGAATGAAGAAATGGCTCCATTAATATAAAAATGTAACTTCCCTGGAGTATAAGAACATGTTTCATGTGGAGGCTCACAAAAGGCCTTATGACCACCATGATGTGAATTAAACTAATAACCACAATGTCCAACTTCATCACATGTGGATCCCCGCACACATGTATGTGTTTATCCAAGATGATCCCTTGTCTTTGTCTTTCAAGCATATACTACACACATCCCACAAAACCCTACGAGAAAAGGCAATCAAAATGGAATAAAATCTCTTCATTTATCTCCCATTTCTTCACCTTTATCCTCTTTCCAGTTTTGACCTTTCACCTTCTTCCTTTTATTTAGGATCCACCAACCGGGCCCTCTTCTCAACCAGTCATCGCAGACATCACCTTTAAGCCTCTAATCCTCATCTCTCCTTTATTTGGTCCCACTCATTTGTTTTAAGTGATTCTATTTCATACTCCCACATCCACACAACCTATCACTTTCCAGGTTTCAAAGCCCAGCTTACACGGCCTTTGGTAAACCCGCGACAGAAGAATTGTTAACATTGCCTTGACAGAAAGGCATGTTCATTCCTACTCTTGTGTTCACTAGTGTTACTGGTTGATGTCTGATGTCACTGGAGGGTTTTGTCTTATTGACTGTCTTCTTTAACCACCTTGTTCACATACCCCTTACGACATACAAACACACTGTCATACACATTATTCCCCTCACCTTCTCTTGCTTCCTCTGTTAACTGTTCTTTCGGAAAATCCACATCAAAAGTGATTATCAAAGAGCCCTTGATGTTGTTGTTGTCAAAGTTGGGGAGCCCTTCCCCTTTCTTCCATAGCTTGGCTCCTGGTCTAGTGATCTTATCCCGGGAAATATGTACCTGGAAAGCAAAAGCTAATGAACCAGAGTAGGACTGGTACTCCCGAGGTATAGCATCACTTCTTGTGATCACGGTGCTCAAAGCTCATGTCACACCTCAGAGGAGGCAGAAAAGATGAAGGGGCCAGGGAAACTCATTAGGACACTAGGAACCAAAGAAAGAGAAGGTTTTCAAAAGAAAAAGAAAAACCAAACATAAACAATAAAATAGTAAGGCTCTGCCCATGGAGACTGTAAGGACAAGACTGACACAGGTGTGCAATCAACTGAGCAGCTGAAATGTCCAGATGTTGGGCAGTAGAGTGAGGACAGGAGGCGGCACAAGGACTAAGAAGTCCCCGTGGTTTTAAATGATCAAAGTGGCTGACAAATCTCGAAGCCGCCCACATGAAAGCTTTAAGAGGACAGGCAGGAAGCAGGAAATTGGTTTGTTTACCTTGTGACCATCCAAGTGAGTAATATCCATATCAAAGCCCACCAGAGACTCAACTAGTGAGATTGTCACATTTGTGTATAAATCATCTCCTCTCCTTTCAAATATTGGATGCCTAGAAACAAAATAAGGTAAAAATCACCGACTTTCATCTTTCTTTGGGAGAGTTCAAAAAGTTTCTAAAACATTTTGAAAAATGATGAGTATTATTTATTTAAACAATAAGCATTTATTAGATACTCTTTTGTGTGTAGAATTAATCTATGAAGGTGTGTAAGATTTATTGAACCCTACTCTTAAGGAGGTTACAATCAGCAGAAGCCAAAGCATGTAAATAAAAGTACAAATGATTAGATTATGGAAAAGGAGAGAAAGACAACTTCCAGCAGTGGGGGCTGGGGAGATGGCATCAGGAATGAGTCTGGAGAGGTTTCCGGAACTGGGATCCCAAGGCCAGGTCAGCTCTAGAGATGCAGAGAAGGTGGGCAAGAGAGAGGGTGAGGATAGGGCAAGAGGGAATTTTGGGAAATGCAAGGACTTGATATTGATACCATGTTTATTTAGGGAAAATACATGTTCCAGTTTCTCTGGGAAATGATGAGAAAGACAAGGGGGGCCCTAGCTGGTTTGGCTCAGTGAATAGAGCATCGGCCTGTGGACTGAAGGGTCCTGGGTTTGATTCCGGTCAAAGGCACATGCCTGGGGTTGTAGGCTCAATCCCCAGTAGGGGGCATGCAGGAGGCAGCCAATCAATGATTCTCTCTCATCATTGATGTTTCTATCTCTCTTTCCCTCTCCCTTCCTCTCTGAAATCAATAAAATATATACATATATATATTTTTAAAAAGTAAGAAAGACTGGGGGGGGGAAGCTGGGGGAAATATCAGGGAGATTAAAGAGTGCTATGGCCTGGCCAGTGTGGCTCAGTGGTTGAGCATTGATCCAGGAATCAAGAGTTCCTGGTTTGATTCCAGGTCAAGGCACATGCCTGGGTTGTAGGCTCGATCCCCATTAAGGGGTGTTCAGAGACAGCCAATCCATGATGTTTTTCTTTCTTTTTTTTTTTTTTTATAGTATACATATTTTATTTATTTTTTTAAATTTCTTTATTGATTAAGGTATTACATATGTGTCCTCATCCCCCCATTACTCCCCAAAATCCCTCCACTCATGGCCTCACCCCCCTGTGTGTCCACTGGTTAGGCTTATATGCATGCATACAAGTCCTTTGGTTGATCTCTCTCTCCCCCTTACCACCACCCTCCCCTACCTTCCCTCTGAGTTTTGACAGTCTGATCTATGCATCTCGTCTCTGGATCTGTTTTTGTTCATCAGTTTATGTTGTTCATTATATTCCACAAATGAGTGAGATCATGTGATATTTATCTTTCTCTGGCTGGCTTATTTCACTTAGCATAATGCTCTCCAGTTCCACATGATGTTCCTTTCTTATTGATGTTTCTGTCTATCCTACTCCCTTCCTCTCTCTAAAAATCAGTAAAAAAAAAAAAAAAAATTTTGAAAGAGTGCTGTGAGGGAAAAGCCCTAGGAGGTGGGTGCCCATTTCTCCATATTTAGGTGAGAACCTTGTTTCTAAGAATCCTTAGAAGCAAAGGAATCTCTGTCTTCCAAAATGGTAACAGGAGAGAAATAATAAACAGAAAGCCTGAATCCCAGGCAAAATCTTGTCTAAGCAGCACTTCATACTGAAGAGAAGCCAACAAAGAGCTCTGCCTGTACAGAAGCGGTCTGCCTGTACAGAAGCGGCATATTATATAAAGGAAGAGCCTTTGGATGGGGCCTTCGATCAGTTGCATCTCAGGTCTCCTCCACTTGTCATTCTTGTCTGCTTCTCTTTAACAGCTCCTTGCTTGTTTTATTAATTACTAGAGGCCTGATGCAAGAAATTCATGCATAGGGGGGAGGGTCCCCTCAGCCCAGCTTGCACACTCTCCAATCCGGGACCCCTCGGGTGATGTCTGACTGCTGGTTTAGGGCCTAAACCAGTAGTCGGACATCTCTCTCACAATCAGGGACCACTGGCTCCTAACTGCTCACCTTCCTGCCTGCCTGATCGCCCCTAACTGCCCCTCCGCCAGCCTGATCACCCCTAACCACTTCTGCCTGCCAGCCTGATCGCCCGTAACTGCCACCCCCCCCCCACCGGCCTGGTTGCCCCCAACTGTCCCCCCACCGGCTTTGTCACTCCTAACTGCCCCCCCCCCCCAGCCTGGTGGCCCTTTACTGCCCCCCTCTCCCCCCCGCCAGCCTGGTCGCCCCTAACTGCCTGGTTGCCCCTTACTGGCCCCCCTGCCGGCTTGGTCACCCCCAACTGTTCTCCCCTCCCCCGCCAGCCTGGTTTCCCCCAACTGCCCCTCCTGCTGGCCTGGTCACCCCCAACTGCCCCTCCCGCCAGCCTGGTCACCCCTAACTGCCCCCCCCCCCCCCCACCGGCCTGGTCACCCCACACAGCCTGCTGTTCAGTCGTTTGGTGTCCCTCACTAACACCCCTGCCGGTCCAGTAGCCCCTCGCAGCCTGCTGTTCAGTCATTACTGTTACTGTGATGGTGTCCTAGACAATTTGCATATTCCTCTATTATTAGTAAAGATTTCCTTCTAACACCTTTTGAATTTGTAGGCTCTGAGTAAATATATAACAAGGCCAAATCCTAGGCCTTAACCCAAAATCTTCAGTATTGTTGTAGAGTTACAAGCAATCATTGAGGGTATGACAGATATTAAACAGAGGAGAACGTCTAGAAGTGCCCTGGTGGCTATCCATATTTCTATAATCTGATGCATCTGAAAAGCAGGCGCTGAAGGGAAAGCCTCTAAAATTAGATTACTTACTTGACAACTTTGATTCGGAACCGTAAGTCTCCTGGTTCTCCGTCCACATGAGGCTCACCTGGTCAAAAAAGATTCAAGCCGACTGTGAGCCACACATGTCTGACACTGCAAATCTATTTGAAACCTCTACCTAAGGTGTCAACTGTCAAGTCTATCTGTGAGAGCAGTGTCTCAACCTGGTTATACCAAGTTTCAAATAATTAGTCAAGATCACCTGGACCTTAGGCACAACAATAGATAACAACCTATTTCCTAAACAGATAATGATTCATTGTTTTCTTGAACTTGAAATCTTCAAGTTTTTTTTTCTTTTAGAGTTTTAAATTTAACCCCAAAGGTAAGGTCTTAGAGTACCTTAATGCCAACTAAAGTTACATATCTTCTTTCATTGCTGAGTTAAAATTAATCCATTAAGATCTGAACACCCTAAATTTTGATAGATATAACTTAGACTACTTGATAGTAATTTTTGCAGATGATATTCAAAGGATAAACAGTAATGCTAAGACTTACGGCGTCCAAATATAATGGTAACAACAGGCTTTCTGTACACTAAACTCACTCAAGAGTGGTAGAAATGATACGTGCATTTACTCTGTGGCCATTAAGAGTATGGAGTGAGGTGAGAGTGGGAGGCACTCACAAGCAAACAGAGCAGAAAGTCATGATAATAAAACATCAACACCAATATTTTACCTTCTCCAATGAAGGGATACTCCATGGCATCTCTCACCCCAGGCTCTATTTCTACCTCCAGTGTTCGTTCCTCATTCACTAGTCTGAAACAAAGAAAATTTAAAATGAAAAAAAGAAAGTACAAACCAAACCCCCGGTACAAATAATTAGTTTTATCTATTCTATCAGAGCTTTTTCTTGGAAGACTATCTTGTACCTCTAATTGAGAAGGCCAGCTGACATCTATTTATATCTATTTGCCAAAACAGGAAAAAGCTAATACTTTATAGTAGATAATCACTGCAACTGCAGTGGGCTGATTACTCTGAACTGCGTGATCCCTCACAGAGAAAACCACTCACACTTACATACATTTGCATTTGGAAGGGCAGGGTCATGTTATTAGGAATCCAGCAGGAGAGTTTATCCTGTCTGAGATTTTTCCTGATCCTACAAACAGCTGATCTAGTTCTGATATACACAATTTAAGGCTCAATTAAATAGTTGTATTTGTAACACAATCAGCAAATAGTATTTCTCTAATCTGAAATGTTAGCTAGACATATAATATTGCTCTAATATTCCAAGCAGGAAAAAATGAAACATCAAACATTTATCAGGTATATTCAGAAATACAGGCCACTGCTCATTAGTTCAGAAACATAAAGGAAGATATTTAAAAGAAATACCTTTGGGAAAATAAAAATGTACAATTTCTTTGTTCTATCCTCTGGCAGAACACAAGAGAGAGAAGAGTGAGGGTAGGGAGGGGGAAAAAATCTACGAATGGACCATTACCATTTTATTAGACAAGCAAGATGATTAAAGTATCTCTTGGAGGAACAAATGTCACTTACTTGACATTAGGGCACTCATCGCAGACCACCTCCTGGGTCATCTGGAAGCGCCCTGGGCCCAGCTGGGTGGTCCGCATCTCTTGCCGACAGTTGCATTTTCGTTTGCCAGGAGCCTGTCTTGCCACAGGTTTGTTTCTAACTACCTAAGAAGTGCATAAACAATATTAGCTTCTCTCTCACATAAAACAGCCTTTGGCTTCCTGAACTGGCCAGGGGTCTCTCTGCACATGTGCCAGGGCTGGAACTCCCCCTTCTCTGGTAGCTATCCCTCAGGGAGACCTGAGCTGAGAGAAGTATTTCAGGAGTTACAAATCAGCCCCAAACAGTAATGAAACATTCAGATATTTAAATGACTCACATTCTAAAGTTGGAGAAGAGAAAACGGAGTAAGAAAGAACAGCCCTGGCTGGTTTGGATCGTTGTTTAGAGCACTGGCCTGAGGACCGAAGGGTCTCGGGTCTGATTCCCAGTCAAAGGCACGTACATCGGTTGTAGTTCAGCCCTGGCCCTGGTCAGGGTGCATGCAATCAATTGATGTTTCTCACATTGATGTTTCTCTTTCTCTCCCTCCTCACCTCCCCCCAACCGCTGCTTCTTCCTCCCTCCCTTCTATTCTCTTTAAAAATCAGTGGAAAAAAGATCCTCCAGTGAGGATTAAACAAACAAAAAAAGAAAGAAGAGAACAGAAAAACAATGTGTAATATATCAGCATTTATAAGCCATAATTAAATACTGCTGAGTTAAAGTAGTTCACAGAATTACTATCTCACAGAAATCTGAGCTGTGTAAAGCATAACCCCTGAAGAACAACCACAGCCTTGAAGAGCTGGTACTTGGCTACCACCAGAAGATTAGCTCTGATTAACTTAATGAAAACAATTCCTTGTTTCAGGCAACTCAGTCTAGGGCTGCTTCCAGTGCTATCTCAATTCAGATACTTTAACACACAGGAAAAGACACAATGATCATCTCTTTGTACTTGATTGCAATCACACATTATGATCCCTCTAAGTTATGTGGAACCTAATTTAAATGGAAAAATGTACTCTTGCTTTTACCTATTTAATTAGTCAAACACCTAATCACAAAGCACATGTTCACGCAGCAGGTGACACAATGCTTGGAGAAAAAAATTCCTGAAAGCCTACCAACATGTGAAAGCCCAGGTCAACAGAATAAATAACAATAATAGTAATTAGAGCAAATACTTTACAGGACTTACTATATGCGAAGCAACGCTCTAATCGCTTTTACATATAGGAACTCATTTAATCCTCACAACATCCTTCTGAGTAGGTACTGTTATTATTTCTATTTTACAGAGGAAGCAATGAAAGTACACAAAGGTTCAATAACATGACCAAGGTCACATAACTAACTCATGGCAGAGGTAGGATTCTAAACCAGGCAACCTAGCTCCAAAGTCCATGTTTTTTAACCACTATGTCCTCTCAAAATAATTTTTTCTTAAAAAAGAATTCACACCCTAGCTGGTTTGGCTCGATGGATAGAGCGTAAGCCTGTGGACTGAAGGGTCCCAGGTTTGATTCCAGTCAAGGGCACATGCCTAGGTTGTGGGCTCAAACCCCAGTGTGGGGGATGCAGGAGGCAGCAGATCAATGATACTCTCTCATCATTGATGTTTCTCTCTCTCTCCTTCCTCTCTGAAATAGATAAAAAAATATTTTTAAAAAAAGTTATATAAAAAAAAGGAATTCACTATTGATTCATTTAAATAGCATGGCCACTTACATCCTTCATAAGTACATTAAAAAGAATTAGTATAAAAACACACTAACTGCAAAAAGTGATGTACTCTGTATTAGCGATGACTATAGACAACAGGTCTGGAAGGGAGTATGGGAGTTAACTAGGCTCACTTCTTTTCTCCCACCTGAACAAGCTGTCCTGTTTTGGAAGGAGAGATGACCCACATGTTTTGAATTCCCTTTTCTCCCATTCTTCAGACTGAACAACAGTATTACAAGCCAGTTGCATCTTCTGTAATGTCTAGTCCTATTCTTTCAACTATTCAGAGCAAAAGTCACAACTAAAAACATGCTTCCTATCAAGATGGCACATATGCAAAAACTACTGCTATCTCCTCCAAAATCACCATGTGAAACTATAAGAAAACATGAATTCCAGTCCTGGCCGGTGTCTCAATTGGTTGGAGTGTTGTCCCATGCATTGAAGGGCCACAGGTTCGATTCCTGGTCAGGAGCATACACCCAGGTTGTGGGTTCAATCCCCAGTCAGGGCACATTGTATGGGAAGTAACCAATCGATGTCTCTCTCTCTCTCTCTCTCTCTCTCTCTCTCTCTCTCTCTCTCTCTCTCTCTTTCTCTCTCAAAACAAATAAACAGAAACCCCCCAAAAATATGAATTTCAGGAAACAATAATACAAAATGTGTGAGAAAACTCCTGAGACAGAATGCTTCTTTGAACTGGTATGTATAAGGGTAATAGGAGCTAGCAGGGCAGTTAGAGGATATTGAAGTTCTGCTCTTGCCTCCTTCCTGAACTGCCTCAGGACAGGCCTTCTCCTCCCCAGGAAACAGTAGAACCCAGACATCAAACAAAAACTCCAAGAAAACAAAACACAGGTAAAACCACTAGATAAGTGCTTGCCCTAATATGCTCTATAAGGGAAGAGAGGTATTGATATCCACAGGGGGCATATGAGCTCAAAAACTAAAACAACTAGAGACCTGAGGACTCCAACTATCTACCACACCCTCCAAAGATAACAAACTGGATAACACATGTATTTTAAGCAAATCTATTAGAGAAGACAGTCTAATAAGTTAATATAAGCATGATAATACTTGAGATAAAGACATTATAAAAATGAAATAGATTAAGAAATAATACAAGAAAAAGTGTAAATATCTATCTATAATAATAAAAGTGTAACATGCTAATTAGAGTAGACAGCCGAATGACCTTTCACGTTCATTCTGGACGTCCTTCTGGATGAAGCCGCGGCAGCGGGGGCCGAGGCAGAGGCGGTTAGGGGCCATCAGGCAGGCAGGTAAGTGATTAGGGGCGATCAGGCAGGCAGGTGAGCAGTTAGGGGCGATCAGGCATAAATGCAGAGTGGTTAGGGGCGACCGGGCAGGCAGGCAAGCAGTTAGGGGTGATCAGGCAGGCAGGCGAGTGGTTAGGGGCGATCAGGTAGGCAGGCTAGTGTTTAGGGGCAATCAGACAGGCAGGCAGGCAGAGGGGTTAGGGGCATTCAGGCAGGCAGGCAGGCAGAGGGGTTAGGGGCAATCAGGCAGGCAGGCAAGTAGTTAGGAGCCAACAATCCCGGATTGCGAGAGGGATGTCTGACTGCCATTTTAGGCCCGATCCCGCAGGGATCCCTGCAGGATCGGGCCTAAACCGGCAGTCAGACATCCCCTGAGGGGTCCTGGATTGTGAGAGGGTGCAGGCCAGGCTGAGGGATTCCTCCCCCACACCCCCGCCCCGTGCACAAATTTCATGCACTGGGCCTCTAGTCTGTGTGTATGTATATGTGTGTGTGTGTGTGTGTGTGTGTGTGTGTATATATATATATATATATATATATATATATATATATATATATATATATAAAAGCCTAAGCGACTGTACAATGGAACGACCAGTCGCTATGATGCACACTGACCACGAGGGGGCCGATGCTCAACGCAGGAGCTGCCCCCAGCCTGCAGCCCCGATCACCGATGGGGCCTGCCGGCCAACCTCCTGGTCTCTCCCTACAGCTGGCAGGCCCCAATTGCTCAATTGGGGTGGGGTCCCCAGGCTGGGACAGGGAACAGGGGGTAGGTGGCGGTGGATGCGACCCCTTTCCCAGGGGGGCCGAGGGCCAGCTCCCTCCTTGGGGCTGGCAGCCAACCTCCTGGGTCCCTCCCCTCTTCCCCCCTACCCCCTGCGGGCAGGTCCCAATCGGCCCGCCAACCACCCGCCGTGGTGACGGTTGGCCCCTCCCCCCTGTCGGCCAACCTCCCAGTCCTTCCCCCCAGCTGGCAGTTCCTGATCGCCCAATCGGGGCTGGGACCCAGGCTGGGACGGGGACCTGGGAGTGGGTGGTGGTGGATTCGGGCAGTGAGGAAAGGAGGATGGGAGGAGGTGGCGGGGCGGGGAACTGTGTGGTGGCGGTGCGCGGGTGGCAAGGGAAGGAGGAGGTAGGGAGGTGGGGAGGCGGGGAACCTGATTGGCCCTGATCACCAGCCAGGCCTGGGGATCCCACCCATGCACGAATTTCATGCACCGGGCCTCTAGTTATGTATAAAAATATGAGTTGAAATAAAAACACAGCTGATGGGGTATTATTAGAATGGACATAACTGAAGATTAAAGTAGTGAGCTGGGAGACCATGAGGGACTCTCCTAGAAGGAAGGAGGGAAGGATAAAGAAGTAGAAATATTTAATATTGAAAAGAAAGTTAACAGCAGATAGAAGTAGATGTGACAATGGATTAAATATCTAAAAATATAGTATAGATACATTTTCCAGAATTAAAGAAATGAATAACCTCAAATTAAAAGATCTCAAAGTTTTTAATAGAAAATTGCTTTCTGATTTTAAGGCAACAAATAATTTCTTAAATAAAACACAAAAATTAACTATAAAAGAAAACACTGATAAATTTACCACATTAAAATTATTTCTGTTCATTTAGATAAATCTTCAATATAATGAAAAGACAAGTTACAAACTGATAGGATACATTTGTATCACATACAGCCAACAAAGGATTAGTAATAAGAATAAGCTTTTCCTATAAATTAATGAGAACAGGGCAAAAAAAAAATGGACAAAAGACATGAGAGGGCATTTCATAAGAAAGGAAAAAATATGGCCAATAAACACATGAAGATGCTTATCCTAATTACTAATCAAAACTACAAAAAGATAACATTTTATACCCATTTAATGCATGAAACCTGAGAAGTCTAATAATTCAAAATATTGGAGAGGTGGGCAGATCATAGGATCTTTTATAAATTGCAGGTGGAAATGTTGGTACTAATCAACTGAAAAAACAATATGGTATTATCTTGTACAAGTGAATGCTGGTTCATATTACCCAGCAATTCCACTATTACTTATAACCAACCAAAAGAAATTCTTGCTCAAATGTACCTCAAGATATATATATATATATATATATATATATATATATATATATATGTGTGTGTGTGTATATATATATGTATATATATTCATAAAAACAGTTTGAAATTGAAATAAACTGGAAATAACCTATGTGCCTATTGATACATTGTGGTCAATACGTTGTGATAAATTCTACTCAGCAGACTTATAGCTAAAAGCAGCAACATGGATGAAAAAAGCTAGTACCAGAGTATGATGTACAGTATGATACCATTTTTACAAAGCCAAAAACAATCAAAATAAATAATATATTAACCAGGTATTCATATATATAATACAACAGGCAAGAATGGCAAGGAAATAATAGACAAAATTTAGGTTAGCAGCTACCTTTGAAGGGAGGCAGGGGAACATAACAGGGAAGTAGCATGTAGGTAGATGTAAGTGGTGGTATTGGTTTTATTTCGTTCTTGGGCTGGGTGATGAGTTCATGACATAACAGTGTATCATGAACCAAAGATTATGATTAATGCAACTCTACATATCTAGTCACTCTCCCACCCCCTAAAAGACAGAGAAGGTGCCCAGAAACCTCTTGGTTTTAGTCAAAAGAACAAGTTTTGTGAGTCAATTGAATACCCGAATTGTTTGAACTTACTTCCACAAAATTTCCTGCATATACTTCTTCCAAAGTGACTTCTAGATCTACAATAATATCACTTCCTCTGGGAATATTTCTGTCTTGCTGTCGAGGGGTTCCTCCAAACATGAAACCAAAATCTCCAAAGAAGCTGTAGATAAGTGTAAAGTTAACAGGAAAAGATATCAGAGTTCACGTCTTACAATGATTCAGTTTCCTTCACATTCATAAAATATTGTGTCCTACCAACATATTGTATAAAACTATAAGACGTTTTAAATACTTTGGAGTCACACATTATATACAATTTTTAATTTATACAATATCAACTATATTGCCCCACCACAAAACAATTACTTTTTAATATAGTATTGTCCAGATATATAGTGTAGTGCAAATATATAGTTATACAAATGAATTCAGTTGGGCTTAATCAATGAAATAATGTTTCAATATTGAGGAAAATCAAGATATAATGGGCTTATTGAGAAAGGGTATATAGTGTATATAACCATGTAATGGTAATTCTGAACATTTGTAATGTTCACTTAATATGCTTTTTAGAAACTAACTTTTGTGAAAGCAACTGGTCTGTACAAAAATCTTGGGTACATAATTAAATAAACTGAAAAACCATCAGCCTTAGTAAAATTCTAAACCTTAAGGAAAAGGAAGTTCTGATCTCTACAAGACCAAAATTAATTTTTGTAACAGAAGCATCACTTTGAGATCAATACAAACAGTGACCTTCAACTGTGAAGGTGTGCTCACCTTAATGTTAATTTCTGGTGTTATTAAGCCTCAGATGTTAGCACAGTGACAATGACAACTATATAACTCCCCCCTGCCAACCAGTCTTGGTGAATGGATTACTGAATCTTAAAAGCAGAGAGGGAGGGTTTGGGGAGAAGAGGTGGAAAGGTACAAACAAACTTTTTCTGTCTTGGCATCCCTAGGGATCACTTCTAACAGCCACGGTGAACGGGACACTTCCCAGCAGCTAAACCTAATCAACCCCCGGGAAGAAAAGGATTTCCTAACCACATTACTCACACACCTTCACAAGTCCTAAAATCTACTGTCACCCCAAACACTACTGTATGAGATAGTGACTTTTACTTCTTTTGGAGAAGGGTTCACAAAACCCTTTGAGAATCTGAAGGAAACAATAAACCCTCTCCCCATAGAAATGCATATTCAAACGTTTTTTGTTCATAACTTGACTTGAAATCCTAGGTTAAGATCTCCTATTATAGGACATCATCAATAAAGAGGGGTTCAGATAGTGGGAAGGAAAGAGTTTACTATTCCAGCCACTTAGCATTTCCAGAAAGCCACCTCACAGCAGGAGATAAAGAGCCTCTACCCCAATTCCTTCCCTAAATACTGGTTGTCATAATTGTCCCACTCGTGTTGACAGGATGAAAGAGAAGTAGCTGTAGGTATGGGAGTAGGACTTTCTCTCTCTCTCTGTTACAAGAATAACTTTGCTCATTAAATCATTTGCAAATGCTAAGACAGCAAGATGAGGACAAACTGGTTTCCAACGTTTATCTGTCCCCTCAGCACTGTCAGGGTTGATTTGACTGATACAGTTGGCTAAATGGACAGCCCTTTCAGTACTACCTGTCTTTTCTGGAGCTTTGTGAAAATGGAAGAGGACATTCCCACAGGGAGGATGATGATTGACCTTTTGGTCAAGGATCAGTTGAGTTATACTCTTCATCAAAAGCTTCTGAACAAGGGAGCAAGGATAATTCTTTCATAATCACTAAGTGATCCATTCTGTGACGCTACTACTTTGCAGATGGGTTAATTACATACTGTGAGAAAATGTCTCCATGGGAGCTCTGATGACCCTCTTTTAATCCCTCTTCACCGTAAGTATCATACTGTTTCCGTTTCTCACTATCTGACAGAACCTGGGGACAAAAAAGATCGTGAGTTGGTAATGTTCAGATAAGGTGCATTCATATTTATGTTTTTTTAAAACTCCAATACTGTGTCTAAGATTTTAGTGAATGTAGTTTTTAATCATATATAGTATTGAGGCATGTTTATAAAATTTTCTTTAGTAGACTAAATTCTTTGATGCATCATTCATTTTTTAACTTCCAGATTGCTAAATTCATGATTTTTTTGTGGTTGTTTTATATGACTATTGAGTGAATGCCTGAGGAGGAGGCTTGTGTCTAAAAAAAGTCCTGAGGGATTCAAAGGCAAAGAATTTCGAGCTGAGGTGGCTGAGGGAAGTGAGCTGGGTTATTCTGGCCATCTCTGGCTGGAGAAAAGGGGCATGTTTGGGGACAGACAAGCCTACGTTCAAAGCCCAACTCTGGCTCTTCCAAGTGCAGGGATGCTGTCCCCACATTGAGTTTCAAGTTCCTCTTCTTCCCAGGCCTTACTTTTCTCATATCTGAAGAAGTACTACTGACTTCCGAGATGGGGCTTGCTAAAGGGCAGCCTCTAGAGTCACTTCTTAAGTTTTTGAGAATTCATGGGCAGCTTCTCTAGGCTATTTCCAGGGAGTGTGAATAACTCCCACTCGGCAGGGGCCACATTTGTCAATTGTTGGCAGTAGTGCTGTCTGAAGGAAGTCTGGAAACCTGACGCCCTTGGGTCACTATGTGACCTTCCACCAGTTACTTCCCCTCTCTGTTTCCACTTCAGGCAAATGAGGACGGTAATCCAGTGGGCTACTTCACCCTCTCCCCTTCATGGCTCATGATCAAGTCTCCTGGAAACAGAATCCATATTTTCCTTTGGGGACCAGTCTCCCTTCCCTCTCTCCCATCACAGACTATGAATTTGGGGTGGGGATTAATGTTTTTAATTTAAACTCACCTGGTCACATAAAAATAATATCTGATATTAATGTGGTTATGACAGTGAGGGCAGTAACAGAAAAGAGGTGAGATAAATTTCCGTTTCACCTCCCGGTGCTTATGCTATGGACCACTATGTGATATTATTTCCTAACTATAAACTAGGATAAAACTATGACAGACTCTCATTAGTGCCAGAAACAGTAAATTAGGACAACCTTAAAATTTGCTCAGCCCTACATGTCTATACCACATTTCTCTCCCCCCACTATACACACATTAAGAGATTGGCAAATCAAGGGAATAAAATGATAGACACTCCAAAAAGGCCTAAACTGCTATATTTTCACATTTCCTTTTTCATTTTGGGGGATATAAAGAAATCCATTTATGGAAGAATGCTGTCTGCCATGTATACGTTTAAGTTCATAACTTCCTGTGTTTGCATCACAGAGTAAAAAGGGACACTGCTCTGTGAAGGTTGCTCAAGGTCAATTTCATAGCTTGAAAAGACTTTTTAAAGTTTTAAACTACATGCACAGTTAAAGGTATATGCTTTCTCATTGGGCCCACTCCACACATAATACCAAAGAAAGTAAAAACAAAGTAAGCTCCCATACTCTTCAGAATTTTTGTTCCAAAAAAAGCTTCCCATCTATTCAGAGCAATCTGAAGTACCTGCACACATACACCTTTGAAAATTAAATAAGTGAATACTCTTTCCTTGACATTTTAAACTCATATTTAAACAGCAAGTGAAGGAGAAAGTTATTGCAAACCCATACTCGTGTTGGCTCAGGAGAAGAGGTTGGAAGTAGGTGGGGAAGTTGACTCAGCAAAAGAAAAGGAATCTGATTGCCATATGTAAACAGGACACACATTTGGCTCAAGGCCTAAATGATGTGCAAGTGGCCCAGCAAACATTTACTAACATTTAAGATACATTTAGAAAAATGCAAAGAATTTGAGTGTATGTGAAAGTGAGCATTCTTAAAAGTAAGTCCAGAAGTTAGTCCAGAAGTGTCTAAAGTATTTGACTAAACCCACTATGATAGACCATGTGAGAGAAAGGGATGTTTTGGTAAATATCCTAAAAAAAAAAGTAGCTACACTGGAAAAGAAGAAATGGGCAGAGTTAACTTAAAAACACACACCAAAAACCCACAACTCTTATTATTATGCAATTTGGATTTCCACTTTCAAGTGTACTTCTCTGATGTTGTCTTGAAAAAGAAATGAACACTACAATTGGATCTATAAGAAACACCATTTCAAAAACCCCAAAGACTATATTTTAATCAGTTCTCTTTGGACGTCAGAGGCTTCTGAAATAACTCCCTCAACACTACCCGTAAAGTTATCTATTACTATTCCTTACCTTTTTCTGTCTAAGGAATGTAATTTAATTCTATGATCTTGGAAACTATTTTATTTCTAACAGAAATAAAAAAGGTTAGTTGATTGGCCAAGCAAGCCACAAAGTGTCAACTAATTAAAATGTAGTAGTCCTAGCTCAATGGAGAAGACAGATTTGTGTTTACAAAAGACTCTTCAACCTTACACCTCTAATTTATTTAAGAAACAAAAGCAATCAACTGAATGAGACAAAAAAACAAAAACCCACAAAAACTGCCCTAGCCGGTTGGCCTGCGGACTGAAGGGTCCCAGGTTCGATTCCGGTCAAGGGCATGTACCTTGGTTGCGGGCACATCCCCAGTAGGGGGAGTGCATGAGGTAGCTGATCGATGTTTCTCTCTCATCAATGTTTCTAACTCTCTATCCCTCTCCCTTCCTCTCTGTAAAAAATCAATAAAATATATTAAAAAAAAACAAAAACTGAACTTGTGGCTTATAAAGGCTCTTAAGAGTTAAATAAACTGCAATCTCATGAATGAACCTGCATAGGTTATGGCTAAATAACATGGAAGATTCTTTAAAAAGCATGGTAAATTCATAGCGATAGCTTCCTTAGAAAATAATTATTGAGTATTGGGTTCCTAGCAAACAATGGAAATATTCATGGGAAATATAGTGCAAAAATATGGACTTCATATTATTAACAAAACACAAAATGTTACATACAATGTAAGAGAGTACACCAACCCTCTCAAGTTTATTTGAGAGCCTGAAGTTAGATATTTCAGGCCTACAGGATCCCTGAAGGTGCCTAAAGAAGGGGGCCCTATTAGTTCTAGGTTTTACCTGGGTATAAGTCTCTATTTCAGTTCATTCACTTCTTTAATCTAGGAAGCCTTGGGATCCCTTCCTTTGGGTTTTTTCCACTACTAACATATTTTTCAGATTTGTTTCTAGCCTTCTAACCATACAGAGATTTAACTTGAATTCAGAAGTTTCAGCTCCATGATGTTTAGAGTTAATTTTTTTTTCTGTGCCCTTTTAGAAAATGGAAATGATAAGACTCTATTGTGTAACTGAAATGTGCTAAGAAAGCAGAACTGAAATATTCTCACACACAAAAAACGATAAATATGTGAGGTGATGGATGTGTTAACTAGATGGGTGGAATCTTTTCACAATGTATTCGTATACCAAATCATTATGATGGCCGCCAGTTTGGCTCAGTGGATAGAGTGTCGGCCTGAGAACTGAAGGGTCCCGGGTTCAATTCTGGTCAAGGGCATGTACCTCATACCTTGGTTACAGGCTCCTCCCTGGCCTGAGTCTTGATCAGGGCAAATGCAGGAGGCAACCAATCGATGTGTTTCTCTCACATCGATATTTCTCTGTCTTTCCCTCTCTCTTCCTTTCTAAAAATCAATGAAATTATCCTCGGGTGAGGATTAAAAAACAAAATCATTATGATGAACACTTCAAATATATCACAATTCTATTTGTCAATTATACCTCAATAAAGCTGGAAAAAAATAAAACCACAGATTTCTTATACTATTTTTAGAGGAAAGATGAATTGCAACACACACAAAATAGCTAACTCCTATATTAATAGATGAAAGATTATCAAAGCTTATTTGTAAACTTTTTTCAACATAGTGTTGAAAGGTTCTGTGTATAAGTTTTTTAAATAGTAAATGATTTATTATACATTCAGCAAATATTCCTCAGTATTGTTAAAAATGAAAAAGAAAAGAAAATAGGAATAAGAATATGCCCAGTTCTACTATATTTTCATGGTGACTTCAAAGATTAGAGGTTGCAAATTCAAACTATAGTTGTTTTGTTTGATTTGCATTAATAAAATTTTTAAAATTGAATTAGTTACCAAAATTTTACAATCAGGAGAATTTACTTTAAACATCTGGATTTCTACTTTCCTTGAAACATTAAATTATGTGGTAACAGGTTTGCATTTGTAAATGGCAAAAACTGAATAGGACTGAATAATAGCTGCTCCCTTGAAATGTAGCAAGAAGGCTTCAGTTTGTCACAGTCCTGATCAATCCCTATTGATTCCCAATATGGGAGGCAGGATAGCCACTGTGATGCTTTATCTTATAACCGCCTTGCATGCTACTTATCTGGTCCATAAAGGCATGCGGATTTGTGATCTTCATTTAGATTTTGTTTGTTTCTGGCTCCAGCTCCCAAACTGATTCATTAGTTGCTTGGTGATTAATCTATTTATTCACTCATCAATCTAACTTTTATTTCAATCATCAATCATCTTCTTCAACATTACTCTCCTTAATAAAACAAATATTAATATAAAAAAGGCAGGAAATGACATCTATAAACGTCAGAGTACAACATAACAACAAATACTACTTTTATTTATAGCCTATTTTTAAGAAGAAATGGCTTGAAAGAAGAGCATTTCCTGTGTTACACAGTTTTTTCTGTGTCCTAATTATGGATAGTTGCTAACGCCCATACGCAGGGTTTTATTGGTACATTATCCGTTTTCCGGACTCACCTCATAAGCAGCACCCAGATCCTGGAATTTCTCCTGGGCTCGTGGATCATCAGGGTTCCGGTCAGGATGAAGCTGAAGGGCCAGTTTCCTGTAGGCCTTTTTAATATCTTTTATAGAGGCACTGCGAGGCACCCCCAAGATCTTATAGAAATCTCTCCTGGGGAGTAGGGAGAGGATACTTCATTACAGAGTTATGTAACACATTTTTAAAAGTGACTTTTTTTTCCTGCTTATGAGCAAAGGGGCAAGAAAATGAAGGTATACATGTGATACATACACACAAAATAATAACTAAAAAGAGAACACACCAGAATTTATAATGAGTTTTATATATTGAAGTAATCACAGTGAGAGGCTATCTACTTTTTGAGCATTGCTATAATTATTCAAAATATCTTTGGCATTCTTCTCTTAGAATACCATTCTCTTAATGCCATCAGTCAAGAAAACCATTTTCTTACTTTACATTTACTTGTTATTTTCAACCAGTAAGTGTATAATGAAATTAACTCTCTCCTTTTTCTGTTACTGATTTCAAATGACATTTGACTGTTTCTGAAGATCAAATAACAACCTCAATGGATAATTTTCTTTACTCAAAATGACTGCATCACATAAATGTTCCAACTAACAGTGGCACTGCTGGAATGCTAAAGATGAAGTGACTGAAGTTAACTTCAGAGGTTAATAATATACAGGTTAAGCCAAAGCCCAAATAAGAAAAGAGAATAACATCCATTTAGATGTATGAGTTTTGGTACTTTTTTGCTGAAAGAGAAAATATCAATCTTGCAGTCATTGCTAATAGTTATATTAGTTTGTCTAAGTCAAGTCTTAATTATAGACAGTTGCTAAAGCCCATATGCAGGAGCTTGTAAGTCACCACAACTGAAAACATGCACATGGCATGAGCTGGGTATCAAGATAAGGTAGAGATCCACAGACCTCTTTGCAAGAGACTATGCTGGAACCAATTAATTACAAAGGAAATCTGCAAGAAGGGCCAATGGGAAGATAGACAAAAACTGTAATAAACTTTCAGAGCAGGGAATGTAGCCAGCCCATAGAAGACATCAATAAATATCCACTGAATGAGCCTGGCCAGCTTGGCTCAGTGGTTGAGCATTGACTTATGAACCAGGAGGTTATGGTTTGGTTCCTGGTCAGGGGAATACCCAGTCTCTCTCTCATTGTTGCTGTTTCTCTTTCTCGCCCTCTCTCTTCCTCTCTGAAATCAAATCAATAAAAATATATTTTTTTAAATTCACTGAATGAAATGAATAAATAAGCATGCTCACAAAAATCAATTCGTTTTGCCAGAGTCACTTTAGCCACCAGAAGTTATTCTGAAAATGCATTCTGTCAACAAAGGGGATGAGAAAGTTGTTCTCAATGGACACACTAATGTAGCAGCGAAGGTAATTTATAATGCAGTGGGGGAAAACATGCATTGGGGTGCCAAGATTCAGGTGATATGTAAGAGAAGATTTGACTTTGGGCAGTGGGCACACAATGCAAAATGCAGATGATGTATCATTGAATTGTACACTTGAAACTTATATAACCTTAATAGCCAATGTCACCCCAATACATTTAATTTAAAAATAAAAACGATTTCATAGCTTTTAGTCACACTTCAGGAAAATCATTTAACATAGTTTTAAAAATTATCGCCCATAAGGGGTTCCATGAGGATTAATTAGGTGCTTTACCTTTGGCCCCAAAAATCTGCAAAAACTTTATATCTCTTGAGACAAGAACTAACTAAATAAAAAGGTTCACTAAAATGAATAACAAAACAGTTAACTGTATAAAGAATAAAGCTTACTTAAAATATACTTAATATAAAAATGGTTAAGTAACAGCTCAGGAAAATATAGGGAAAAGATAGCCAGCATAATTCAGCATCAGTATTCAGCGCCCAAGAGACTCCTTTATGAAAGCCTGACGTATAGAGCTATAGTATTAAATATTTATAGTGATATTTTGTTTAAATACCTTAGTGTACTTAGTGCTTTAAGTGTAAAAAGTACTAACAAAAACAATAAAATATTACCTAGGAGAAGTTAATTTTTTTAAAATTTAAGATGTTTTACAAGAAAAAAATGACAAAGTTTAAGCATACGTATATGCACAGGGGGAAAGCCTTTAAGAGAATAACAAGCACTTACATTTTAAAGCTTTGCTAGGTAGGACTTGATCCATTTAGAGCAGTGGTTCTCAACCGTCCTAATGGCTCGACCCTTTAATACAGTTCCTCATGTTGTGGTGACCCACAACCATAAAATTATTTTCTACTTCATAACTGTAATTTTGCTACTGTTATGAATCGTAATGTAAATATCTGATATGCAGGATGTATTTTCATAGTTACAAATTGAACATAATTAAAGCATAGTGATTAATCACAAAAACAACATGTAATTATATATGTGTTTTCTGATGGTCTTAGAGGACCCCTGTGAAAGGGTTGTTCGACTCCCCCAAAAGGGGTCGCGACCCACAGGTTGAGAACCTCTAATTTAGAGCAATCTATTAATTGTTAGAAGCTAAGGCCTTACTATTCCCCACATTCTAAAATATAAGCCTGGCACATAATATCCTGTGGTCGACAGGCATGTAGAATCATGGATCTTAAAGGCTGGAAGGATCCTCAGAGTTCAGGTGGTCCGACTCCCTTCATGCAGGAGGCACATTAGTATCCTCAACTTGAATTTAGGTGGTTCCTTCAAGGTCACATAATTCATAAGTGGGGAGGCCAGAATCCTAGTCTACTATCTGTTGGTGAAATACTCTTCCCGCTCATAATACCATTCAACTTCTCAAAAACGTACCATGGAGAGAGACAGTGAGGCAAGAGGACAGCTTAGGCTCAAAACCTCAAGAAGCGGTACAAGGACTTTCCAAAGGGTCTGCACTCCATTTAACCTCCTTCCGTCCCAGCATGGCTTCCTTACCTGTTCGGCTAATTTCCTCACTCAGCCTGGCACGGACCCACCCACTTGAATGTCAGCTCCCCAAGGGCTCGTGGCAGGCCCCTCTTCTCCAGCTCAACAGCCCCCCGCCCCGCGCAGTGTTTTGCCCTGCACCCAACTCCCGCCCCTCCGGACAAGTCTAGCTCTCCAGGGCCTCTGGATCCAAGCCCCTCTCACTCGTGCCACCCATTGCTCTCCTCTCCACCCTGCTAGCCTGGTCCACGTAAGCCATTCCTCCGCCCCACCGTCTCGCCACAGCAATGCCCCCTCCTCGTCCTTCCAGCTCCGTCCCAGCCAAGACTGACCCACGGGCCCCGTACCACGCGGGCCCCCGTTCCTCACCCGGCGATCACGGTCCCGATGAGGTACAGCAGCAACAGGCAGAAGGTGCCCAGGTTTTGCGGGGCCATGGTTTCTCTGTGCCAGCCTCTATGCCGGCCCCTGTCCAACACACTCCTCGCTGTCTCGCCGGCGCCGCGTCGGCTCGCCAGCCCACCGGGCCCTGAAAGACCGCCTCACGCCGGGGTCTCGTGCGGGGGCCGGAGCGACGCAAGCTGGCCCCCTCTCCTGCCAGTCCACTTCCCGGGAGTCCCGAGTCCGGTGGAGAGAAGCCCCCCAGCAGATGAGAGCCAATCGCCGCTCGGGACATCACACGCGGCCGGCCCCTCGCAGCCAATCAGCGCGGTACACTTCACCTCCGAGGCGGCGCGGGCGGCCAGTTAGGCTTCGGAACTGCAGCCGCAGCTCCTGGCCAATGGGAAGAGGGAACGTCAGAGAGTCGCGCCGCCGCCGGAATCCGCTCAGCCCCGGTTCCTGCGAGTCGTAGAAAACTACGTAAAAGGGCGGTAGAGAGATGAATGCCAAAACAGCGTTTCTAAGGTATAAGGAGTTCCCCCGCCCGCCTCCTCTGACTTTCCACCAATCACGAGTCTTTTCCATCAGCTCTGACCAATGGCGGGAGGGAAGTTTGAGTCGGTGACGAGTCCTGGAATTTCATTCATATGTAACTACTTGCTGGATGCGGGGCGGAGGGACAAGTGCGTTAGGGTCGGGGACAGTCACTCCAAGCCAATGGTCCTGCGAACGTCTGGTTTAGCAGATCTTATTTTACCTTCTCCTGACAGCCCAGGAGAAAATGGTCCTGGTTTCACTGAGAAGAGGCCGTGGACAGACTGAACTTAGGATTTAACTTCCACCACCGTTTAGCGGTGAGAAACCCACGGCCCTTACCCGCCATTCTGAGCCTAAGCTTGATTATTTACATCTTTTTACCATTTTAATAGGAGAGAATCTTTAAGCCGTCTGGCACATAGTAACCAGGCACTCTATGAATAACTACTATTTGTTATAAGAACTCTGATCCCACCCACCCATACACCCGCCTACTTTTTGCTCCTCTCAGTAAATGCACCACCTAGTTGTTCACCACTTAGTTGCAAGGAAAATTCTGTGTTCCTTAATTCCTGTGTTGCATCCCCTATCCAAATGTTTACCTTTAAACTATAACTCGAATCGCTCCACTACTTTCCACTACCTCTCTGGGCTAAGTCACATCATCCCTCACCTGGTCAGGGCCTCCTAATTAGTCTCCCTGCCTCCACTCTTAATATTTCTTTTCCCTCCTGCCCACCCCACTGCCATGATTTCTTACAAACATACCAGATCATATCATTCCCCTGCTTTGAGGCCTCAAATCGCTTTTCATTGCTCTTAGAATAAAATTCCAACTCTTTATGGTAAATTATAAAACCTTATTATGTCTCAATAATGCTGGAAAATTTTTTTCAAAGAAAACCTATGATGATCTGTGTACCCTCACTCAGTCAGTATACTCCTTACTATGCTCCAGCAAAACTGGTTTCCTTTCTCTTTTTTGAATACACCAAGCTCATTCCTGCCTAGTGCCTTTGTTCTAGCTCTTCTCTCTGCCTGAAACCCTCTTCCCTAAGATCCTAATATGGTTGACTCCTTTTTAAACACAGATTTCCTTAATATGTATTATCTATTCTCCCTATTAAAATATGCACTCCAAGGAAACAAGGACCTTACCTGTTTTGTTCACTACTATAATCCCAGTGCCTAGCACTATGCCAGACACACAGTGGTGCTCAACAAATAATTGCTGTTGCAGAAAACAAAGGCCTAGAGAGAATCTGCTCAAGGTCACTGAGCTACTAGTGGTGCAGCCTGCTCTTTACTCCTTGACTCAGGCAGAGTTAAGAGAAAGATAAGGTTATGCCTTCAGGAAGATGCCTACTAGGGAAGAAAGGCTACATAAAAGGGGAACTAAATGCATTTTTTAAAATATATTTTTATTGATATTTTTACAGAGAGGAAGGGAGAGGTATAGAGAGTTAGAAACATCAATGAGGGAGAAACATTGATCAGCTGCCTCCTGCACACCCCCTACTGGGGATGTGCCGGCAGCCAAGGTACATGCCCTTGACTGGAATCGAACCCGGGACCCTTCAGTCTGCAGGCCGATGCTCTACCCACTGAGCCAAACCAGTCAGGGCTAAATGCATTTTTTTTTTTTTTTTTTTTTTTTTTTACCGTTGTATCTTCCACACTTAGAGAGACCATAAACGAACTACGAAAGTAGAAAATTGCTAAAAATCATGAAATGGAGGTTTAAAAGAAGGAGTGATGTTTACTGCTGGGTGGAATCCAAAACAGCTTCATGAAGACCTGGGTTTGTATCTTGGCTGGAGGCTTGTGTGACCTTAGGGGTGTATTACTGTCACTCCTCTACTCCCTAGTTTTCTCGTCAATAAAATAAATGTACTTAACCCAAAGGGTTCTTGGGGAAACCGAGATAATACGCATAAAGGTGCTTTACACAGTGCCCACCTAGAGTAAGCACTCTGACATGTGAGCTGTCATGATCGTTGTTGTTATTACTCATCAGAGCGTGCTGACCTTTCCAGCAGCTGTTGCCTGCTCACAGTTCTGTGGGGCAACAGAGAACGTCCTAGTCCCCTGAGTGGAAAGGCTCGATAACAGAAAGCTGCCGGGTATGGCTTCAGGGCCCAGCAACCAGGGAGCTTACTAGCCTTCGCCAAATTTTCCTGACCTCTGAGCAGCGGTCGGCCGCTCTAGCAATACGGTCCTCCGCTTCTCGGTGATGAGAGGCCTCGCGCTTGCGCGGTGTGCGCGGCGGCGGGCGAGGGGTGGGCGGGCCGGCCGGCCGGCGGGCGCGGCGGCGCAGGGAGGTGCGGCGGAGCGGAGCCCGCCTGTGCAGGTAACGGCGCGTGGATCGGCGCCGGGGAGGGAACGGGGGTGTGTTACGCTTCAGGCCCCAAATGGGGAGGCTGCCTTAGCGACTCAGCAGGTCTCGGTCGGCCACGGACCCGGTCAGCGGGGTCTTCTCTGTCCTGAAGTGAGGCTGGAGCGCTCGGGCGGCCCACGCAGCGTCCAGCCCCGGACGGCGTCCGAGGTGACGGCGAAGCCTCGGAGGACCGCCCGGGGCCACGCTCTGATCTCCCCACCAGAAAAACCCTAATCCCCGCGCGCCCCGGGGTAGTTTTTGAAGCGGGAAAGAGCCCCAGTTTCTGTTTGTCGGAGGCTAATGCGCCGCCTGGGTGCTGGGACCTGGGGTCAGACCCGCCGCTCTCCGGTTCTCCGTTGCCCCGCAGAGCTGTGGGCAGGCCATCGCTGCTGGAAGAGTCAGCACGCTTTGATGAGTAATAACAATGGTAATGACGGTTGATGTTTAGGAATTTAGCCCCCTCGAGTCCCGGACTTGATATAGAGGGTTCATCTCCAGGATCTGCACACTTGAGACACAGGAGCTCAGAACCTCACAGAGCAGCTTGTCTCCATTCGGGGCGGACTGTCTTCCCCACGTAACTTTCATGGTCTGGTTTTATTCAGAAAGAGGCCAGACCATTTCCATCTGCGAAAACAGCTGCCCTTTTACCCTCTCACGCCCTTCCCTTGGGTTCCAGCTCCCATGTTCCTTCACGTGGAACATGGCTTTATATGGCCTCGCATCTAAAGCCATTCATTCTGGTAGTATTTCTCTTCTGGCTCCACTTCCGTTTTTCAGAGATTTCCCCAAAACTGGGTTCTTAAAGTACAACTGTAAGCAACACGGTTCTCCAGTCAGACAGACTTGAATTGTAATCCAGGACTTGTGCCAATTTAAGTATGTGACTTGGATACCTCCCTTAACTTTGCTAAGCCTCCATATTTTTTTCCCCCATCTAAAAATGGGATAATCAAACGAATCTCCAAGTGGTTGTGAAGATGAAAACAGGTGAAGTGCGAAATATATTTAGCATGCTACCTAGCTGGCACATAGTAAGCAATCAATTGATGTCAGCTATTTTTTGAACAGTTAATTCCCCAGAGAAGCACAATTTTCTTAGAATCAAATGCAAAATATAATAATAACAAAACTTTTTTCATCAGTTACATAAGGAAGGTTTTTAAAAGTGATGTTACTTAGTGCAAAGAGTACTCAGTGAAGATGATGCAGTGGGCCATGTGGGCCATGACTTGATACAATCATTTGGGAAAGCAATGGAACTATATGTCAGGAGCTTCAGAAATGTCAGTTACTTCATTTCACAAATGCACATCGGAAAATTTTCTTTGGGAAATATTCCTAATGCAGAAAGGTGGTATTGTAGCATTATTTATGGCAGTGAAAATATTTAAACTTTTTATATTGGAAATTTTTAACATACACAACAGTAAATTAGGTAAATGACCCTCATGTGCTCATGACCCATCTTTAACAGAGATCAATATTTTTGCCTATCTTGTTTTTGTGAAAAGATTTAAACCTACTAAATATCTAAAAACAGAAGAGTTGAGTAAGCTGGTGTACATTTATTTAGAGTGTTATGAAGCTTTTAAAGTAATTTGGAATTATGTATATGGTGTTATCACAACTATGAAAATTCAAAATTAACATCCAGTCTATGTGTAGAAAAACAGAAAAATGAGTACAGTAAAATATTAACTAGTTTCTGTTTAGTGGTGGGACTGTGGATGGTTTTCTCCTTTTCTATTTTTAGATACTTTATAAATAATCTATAAAAAATATATATTGTTGTTATAACAAAGAAACAACAAACAAAACCTATAAATGTTGCACCGGAACACGATAGGTTATACCTTTTACCGAGAATAGCTTTAACTCTCCTTGATCTATTTTAGCAACCTACATTTACATGAGCATTCTTGTGTGCCATTTTGTGTTAGTGCTTCATATTGAGCTTATGGTCAGCTAACACATTCAAATCTTTAACCAACCATCCTTATGTGTAAGTGATTTCTTTTTTTAATTTCTTTATTGATTAAGGCATTACATATGTGTCCTTATTCCCCCATTCCCCTCCCCCCACGCATGCCTTCACCCCCCTGTTGTCTGTGTCCATTGGTGAGGCTTATATACATCCATACAAGTCCTTTGGTTGATCTCTCCCCCTTACCTGCACCCTCCCCTACCTTCCCTCTGAGGTTTGCCGGTCTGATCGATGCTTCTCTGTGTGAGTGATTTGACTCTGAAGTTTTATTCCCTTAATTTTGACTAGTGTTCCCCTTCAGGGTAGAGCAAGATTTCTTGTGAAAGGATGACTCATTTTCCCATTTCTTCTTTTTTTCCAACTCATACCTTATGCATTTATTTATACACTCTTCCTAAA